CCCCCCCCACAGCCTCCTCGGGCCAAAGTGCTGCAGCAAGGGCCAGCTTGGGCAGCTGCAGCAGCGCCTCAACACCAATGGTCCTCAGGCCTTTCTGAGGAGCTGCAGCGCATGCAGCCCACGGCGCCTCAGCAGCAGCAGCAGCAGCAGCAGCAGCAGCAGCAGCAGGGGGAGCAGCAGCAGCGGCCGGCAGAACCTCGTCCTCTGAGAGCGACGCCTGGGAGTCCGACCACTCTCCCGCCGCACACTGCTGCTGCTGCTGCTGCTGCTGCTGCTGCTGCTGCTGCTGCTGCTCGCTCTGTGCGAACCATAGTGCTGCAGCAGGCTCCGCAGAGCCGTCAGCAGCAGAAGAGTTCACTGCGCCCATTAGATCTTCCCGCTTCCCCAGCAGCTAGCGCGGGCCGAGCAGCAGCAGCGCCGCTGCTGCTGCTGCAGCTGCTGCTGCTGCTGCTGCAGCTGCAGCTGCTGCTGCTTCTGCTCCCTGAAGCCAATGAGGCCACGAAGTGGAGGGCAGATGCTTTCGCCCGGCTCGAGGGTCAGAAGAGCACTTGGGAGAAAATAAAGAACAGCAAGCCTCGAGCAGCAGCTGCAACAGCAGCAGCAGCAGCAGCAGCAGCAGCAGCAAGTTGGCGTTTGTGCAGCAGCAAAATCGGAAATGCCTCTCCAGAGAAATTTGAAAAGCCCAAAAGTCTCAAATTTGCTGCTGAAGAGGCAAATAAAGAAACAGCTGAAGGAGAGCGCAGCTGCTTCCGAAGCTGCTGCTGAAATCGAAGCCGCGGCGGCGGTCTTGGGGCCTTTTGCCTGGCAGCAGCAGCTCAAATGAGTGCAGCTGCTGCAGCAATGAGGAAAAATAACACTTTTAAAGAATAAAAAGAGCAGCTTTCCGCAAAGAAGCAGCCAGTTGCCTTGGAGGCGAAGAGAAGCCGCCGGGCGGATGGATGGTCACAGCCGCAGGCAATGGCGCCGCTCCGCCCCCTTCGCTGCGCAGTTTCGGAAGAACAACTCGAAAACTAAAATTATATTTAATTTATTTATTAAAAAGGAGAATTTGAAAACCAAAAGTGCCAGTTCAACTCCGTTAGAGCTCGCCCGAGGTGGCGGGCGCTAGACCGCTGCCAGCATCGGTGTCTGTACACCCCGTTGCCAAAGGCGCATTCGTGCAGGTTCCGTCTTCGGCAGTTTTGTTTCTGAAAATAAATTTGCAATTATTGAATTCGCAGCAGTAGTTTTTTTCCGCGCGGAAAGCCCAAGTGTGTGCTTGCCGTTTGCTGCTGCAGCGCGCACGGGAGAGGCAGCGCGGAGAGCAGCAGCAGCAATTAACTGTTATTAGCCCATGAACCAACAGGGAAACCAGAGTTGAATCGGACTTAAATAATTCAAATTCGCATTTATTGAGGCCGGAGAAGCTTTTCAAAATAACTCAAATGAGCTCTTCCGGAGCTCCGGGAGAGGAGGCGGACACACGACAGCAAGAACTTGGAGTGTACGTACACCTGGTGAGTGCAGCAGCAGTCAGACTCACCGCTAAAGAGAAATCACTTCTTTTTTTGCTGCTGCTCAGAGGGGCAGCCGCCCTCGGCAGCTGCTGCTGCTGCTGCTGCTGCTGCAGCAGCAGCTCTTCATCTCCCTGCTGCCTAACTAAAGCAGCCACTCCTCTCTTAGTGTAGCGAGCAGCGCTTCCCGCAGCAGCAGCAAGCTCTTGGCAGCAGCGCCGCAGCAGCAGCACTGCTTCCTGCAGCAGCTGTGCTGCCTGCAGCAGCAGCTCTGTTACCTGTAGCAGCAGCTCTGCTGCAGCAAGTGCTGCTGCCATTTGAAGCAAAACTATTTTCTGCATGCAAAGCAGCGGCAGCTGAGGTGTCTAGACACCTCAGGAGGTCTTCAGACACTTGTGTTGGCATTTGTGTCTTCATCTGTTTAAAAGAAACTCTTCGGACTTTAATTATAATTATAATTTTAATTTTAATTATAATTATTAAAAGTGCAATAAGCATGCATGCGCAGCAGTGTCTATACACTACACATTTACTGCAAACAGCAAATAAAACTCCACCACAATAGCTACACATACAGCAGCAGCAGCAGCATCTGCCACAGCAGCAGCAGCAGCATCTGCCACAGCTGCAGCAGCAGCATCTGCGACAGCTGCAGCAGCAGCATCTGCCACCAGTTGCCACAGCTGCAGCAGGAGCAGCATCTGCCACAGCTGCAGCAACAGTTGTCAGAGCTGCAGCAGCATCTGCCGCAGCTGCAGCAGCAGCTGCCATAGCTGCAGCAGAAGCTGCCACAGCTGCAGCAGAAGTTGCCACAGCTGCAGCAGCAGTTTTCACAGCTGCAGCAGGAGGAGCAGGTGCCACAGCTGGCGCGGCAGCAGGTGCCACAGCCGGTGCAGCAGCAGCAGCAGCAAACGAGTGCAGCAGCAGCAGCAGCAGCAAACGAGTGCAGCAGCAGAGCAGTTCCTGTTTTCAAATTTGCTGCTGCTACCCTAGGCCTGGTGGCTGGCTTCAGTGCTGTCTGCATGCATTTTATTTTATTTTATTTTATTTTCAAATAATTAAAACTAACTTCCCCCACACAGCTGCTGCCTACACTGCCAGCTGCAGCAGCAGCAGCGCCCCATCTGCTACTGCTGCTGCACTTGCTGCCTCTGGTCAGACCCTAGAGAGACTCAACAACGCTGCAGCTGTCTGCTGCAGCAGCAGCAGCAGCAGCAGCAGCAGCAGCAGTTCTTGCCGCTTACTTCTGCTTCCCCGCCTGGGTCTTCGCCTTCTCCGTCCCCCGCACCTGCGCGCCCCAAACCACCCCTCAGCAACTACCAGCAACAATCAGCAGCAGCAGCAGCAGCAGCAGCAGCAGCAGCAGCAGCAGGAGGTCCCCTGCATCCCCGCGCCCCGCTCCAACGCCCAATCAGCAGCAGCAGCAGCAGCAGCAGCAGCAGGTCCCCAGCCTCCCCGCGCCCCGCTCC